AGGTAGGTAGGTAGGTAGGTAGGTAGGTATGCAAGATACCAAATGAGATGCAGAATGTAATAAACATGCTTAAATACGATTGCTTAGCCACGACATTTTGTGTGTAACATATTGAAGAAAATAAACTTAAGTTTGTGCAATACTTATGTCTTTGATACAATAGAAAACAAGTTAGACCAAATAAGTTACTTTTTTTATGAATGTACACTATAAAAACCTGTAATCAAGTGAAGGTGCTTTGCATGGGTAAATTCGTTATTTGTGTTAAAAACACTCACTGAATCGGTAATAATTAGGCTTCATAATGTATGGCAGAAGGGGGGGGGGGGGGGGGGGCAGCTGAAATCTTTAAATGTCAAAAAAATTCTTAAGACTTTCCCTTGAAGTCCCCCCTCCCAAAAAAAACTATCCCCCGCCCCCACGGTCAATCTCTCGTAGCTTATTTAAAAAAAATTGGCATCCCTCCAATTCTCTGAAAAAATTTTCAACCCACCCCCCCACATTTTACTGGTAAAAATGTTTCCCATCCCCCTAAATTTCACCTATCCCTCCCCCTCCCCCTGCCATACATTATGAGCGCAGCCTTATCGCTACTCGTACTCAAAAAACTTGTGCATATACTGAACTTTCTATTAAGTAAACTCTATGTAACAAATGGTTGATGATCAACTGATATTTGCTATGGACTATCTGATTTTAAAAGTTCATAAGTAAAGAAATATATACTCGTATATTTGAATATGAAATATAGCAAAGATATATGTTATAAATATTAGGGTTTTTCATACCATCATCACTTATCAGTTTGACAAGTCTTTCAGAATACCGAATATCAACATTGCTTGGAGACACTCCTGATATATTAACCTTGAAGGTCTCGTCGCCTTCTATTAGTTTGTCATCTACCACTGTACAGGCTGTTATAGTTTTACTTGTTACGCCTGCATTAAATTGGATAACACGGGGGCTTATTCCAGTGCAATCTGCACTCTCTGCAGTAGTAAATATGAGTTCTAATCTAAAGACAAAGTAATATTAGTGTAAAAGTATAATCATAAAAACAGCGTATTTTTATGCTCAGTTTTTTGTCTATTTGTAACACTACAGAGATGACTCGTGAATTCTCACATCTGACAAAAGCTTCGTGTACGTTGTTTTCGCTCCCTCGTCGTGGGTCGCTACTTATGAATGAAAACACACGATTTTCCTTCTCTAGAATATCTTTAATTCTTGTACTAATTCCTCAATATCTGGGACTGTCGAGCGTGTCGAGCGTGACCCTTACATGTGTATTGGCAATAGTCAACTGTGGGATATAAACGCTAATTCAACTAAAARTCACTTAAGATTAAATCATTATAAGTATAACTACTTACAAATTCGTTTGAGATAACTAGAGAAGTGTTTTGAAKGTTTTGTCTTGCTATTACGCTTTTGAACAATATTATATTGAGTCCTTGTGATCCGGCGTGCGAATGATTCCACAACAACTGAAATACAATCGCTCCTATCTAARTATATATCAGCACGTGTGCTATAAATCGTCAGGTAAATCATTAATCAAGTTGAGAGAGCGTAACATACGTGATGATAATGGTAATGGAGAGTTTTAGATTGATTTTTTTTTTTCTCCCCACAAACGGCAAACATGACCACGTTTTCATCGTCTTCCTGTACGTATTTAACTTAACCTCTTGCAAACTTTCATACCACACACAAATATTCTTTTTTTCCCTACTACTTGGACTTTTTTGCGATTCTTTCTCAGCTATTTGAAACAAGTTTTCACTGGTCAACTACGTTTCACGTTTGCCGTGAACGTAAATCTAAAACTCTCTAATGATAAAGATTACGATGGTGGTGGTGATAAGCGGGTAATAATCATCCTTAACTAACCCTTTTCCATTCTATGCTGGTTTTTTTCTTTTTTGTTTTTAATTACCTGACATTGGAAGGAGCTGAAATTTCCCCTTCTCTGATTATAGTGACATTAACATCAGCTCCTCCAATACCTTCAGTTTTTTGTATAATATTGTTACTGACGTTCATCAGACTAAAGGTATCTGAAATAATAGAATATTGGTCATTTCAGATTCAATTAATTGTAATAGTACAAAAAAATTTTCTTACGAAAATGAATATTATGATGCTTGAATTACCAGACAAAGAAAAAGCTGAAATACTAGAGTACAAACACTAAAAGTGTGCAACGCTTTGCACTATTTAGTAGTAAATAGTGCTAATTAAACAATAGAAAACAATAGGATTAGCATAATTTAGCAGTATTTAGTGGTATTTATGTTACACACTTATAATGTTTGTACTCTACTTTGACAGCTAACTTTACTAACAATGTCATATATCAACAATAATAGTTCAGTGGTAAAATACAGAGTGTAATGTCATAATACTATAAACTAGCTACGATTTTGAGACGACAATACCACGAAATATTGACGGCTAGTTGGGAAAAATATATTCGGTATTGGGCGTAGTCGCATGCTAGTTTAGTTGTATTCAAAACCCAAATGACGTGTTCAAATGGCCGTGGTAGTTCCGTCGTGTACCGGTTAACGAAATTAGCATAAACTAAAACATATTAATTCCGATTAACGACACTACCAATGAGTGTCCCCCGGTGGGGAAAAAAGTACCGGAGATGCTCGTCGGAAATTTTCAAAAAGACCCCTAAAAGATACCGGAAGTCTTTAAAAAAGGGCGTGGCTGAATGATTTTTAACCCTTAAGAGATACCACAACAAATAATAAGTTTCCTCGAGTAGTAACTATTCTTCTTACACTAGGCATCTGACCTATAAAAAGCGCCAAGGATAAGCCATATCGATGCACGCTTCTCTCCTTTTCCGACACCCTAAAGCCTGGTTCACACGAGCAACGCAAACGCAAACGCAAGCGCAAACGCAAACGCAAGCAATGTTCACACGTACAACGCAAATACAAGTAAATTAAGATACGCATGCGCAGTAGTGATTGTTTATAGTTCACACGTATTTTCCTTGCGTTTGCGTT